AGTTTATCTATATGTGCACGCACATGTGTGTATACATAATTATACAATTTTATTACGTATGCAAAATTAGGCAATCTACATGTACATTATATATGTGTGTGCACTCACTCCTATGACATAGAACGACAGTGCAGGCTATGTAAAGTCGCATCAATGTGTGTCACCCGGGTGTGTACATGCATGCGCGCTCGCGCGGGCGTTTTGTGTGCGTGCCTGGCATGGCATAACGCCGTTCAGTATGACTAGTGTTGAACCGTGGTAATTTTCCCCCACCCCCTCTTTTTTTCTGCTGGCGTTGGATATGCAACTAATGACATAAACTCGGTTGTTGAAAACGAGTGCCATGCACCACAATGGATTGACAATAATAATAATAATAATAATAATAATAATAATACAAGTAGCACTGTAACAGCGCTGGTAATACTTATGTTGCAGCCATGGCAGTTGTGAGTAGCTTTCCAAGTCAAGCCTGCTGCAGAAATTATTGCACTCTGACCAGCTGGAGTGGCCCAGGACTGCCGGTTGTGGAGAACAGGAGTGATGCTTGTATATACGCTTGTCATGATGTACACAGTGTACTTCGAAGTAACGTTAGGTGTATTACTTGCGTGTTCTTCTGCCTGTGCGCGTGTACATGTGCTGGTCAGTGTGGAACCACCATCCATATCAGATCATACAGCTACTATCACTACTATCAGTCTCAACAGCTTGTATCTGGCAAATAGGGTTTTAGTGACTCGATTTTGCTTACTGTGTTCAACACAGTGGCATTGCACACAGCTACTTGATGTAATAGTAGCATCTTGGAAATTTTAGATTTTTGATAGTTAGCTTCAGTAGAAACTTCTCCAGTGTGGCTCTTAGCTTCATTACCACGGAGACTAAGCATTCAAGTAATGCACGAAGAACAGTGGCTAGATGTGAAGTGAAAAGCCATTGGACCGTACCCCGTGGAATACGCATTTAGTATAGAAGAATTTCTTGCTATGTTGGCAGCAAACACTGTTATAATAATTACATTACCAGTAGAAAGTGCCTAATGTGCATTGCTTCAGCACTATGTTTGGACAAAGCAGTCAACAAATTCCACATCACTATCGGCTTCATGTTGGAGAAAGTTGTGAAAAACACTAGAACATACATGTACACTCAATACACATGCTCATCTCCATGTATGGCATTTAGTATGTGGGCGACTTCAAAGTTCTATTTTGGTAGTTTGCTTCGGTAGAAACTGTCTAAACTTGATCCAAAGCTCTACTACTATGTTCTGAAGATGTTGCAATCAAGTAATGTAAGCCAAGTATCTGCCGCATTGGAGCTAGTTGTGAAAACCTTTAGACCATACACTCAATGCACATGCTCAGCTATGGCATTTAGTATGTGGGCGACTTCAAAGTTCTGTTTTGGTAGTTAGCTTCGGTGGAAACTGCTAAAACTTGATCCAAAGCTCTACTACTAGGTTCGGAAGATGTTGCAATCAATTATTGTAAGACACGTATCTGTCATATGGTGGAGTCAGGGGTTCTAAGGCGTTGGACAATGTCCCAGTGCAATGTGCTGATTCTTGAAATATGGCATCACTTGAAACTTCAAAGTTTTATTTCACGAGTTACCTTCGGTAGAACCTGCTCAAACTTGCTACACAGTACCATTATTAGGTTATGATAGCATAACCATCGAATACAGGGCAAGTTCAGTGTCAAATACTTGTGGGCGGGGCTAATATGTGGGACGTGTGCGCTGAAATGGGATGATTCCGAAAAGAGAAAAAAAGTCACCTTCTAGCAGAATTCTACCCACTTCTACAGCTAATGCTGATATTTAGCAAGTATACTACTGTCCTGGTGTTGGTCATCAAGAAAAAGGGGGTAACTACCAGTGCTACGGCCAAAAAACTGGTTTTCCGGTATTTTTTGGCCTAAATTGGCAATTGTGAGTACGCTATGTTTGGCCCCTCCCCCGAGTGAAACCGGCCGGTAGAACTTGATAAAAATTCGTCTCCGTACACAAGATATCCAACGGAACAAAGTACAATCATTTGTAGCCACGTTTCAAACAAAAAAAATTTGGACCCGAGGGGTAGGAGCCACCTTAAGTGGAAAAGAAATCACAGGAGCTAGCTTCTTTATCATAATATGTTCGTGATACCGTCTAGCCCTGGCGCTTTCCCAGATTTGAGGTTTGAGATTGCTTTACGAACATCTGCTGTAGTGGTATGAACGCGGGTGAATTGGCGAGTAAGACGAGTGTCATATTGGAGAGGGGGTATTACTAAACGTGGGTCATCAGGCACCGCGACAGAGGTAAACTGCTTGTTGAGGATGGTTGCTTTTTGGAAGCTGTCAGACACCAGCAGCCCATCAGGGCTTGCAATGTCAGGGATGCCAGGTTTTACTTTGTGTGATTGCTGGCTGCGGACAAACTGGTGAAGCGTAGTGCTGCCTGAGGTATAGGAAGTATTGTTTTGATTGAACGAATTATGTACTGGATACATGTACATGTATACGGTAGGTGTGATTTATGGTAATTATGCACTATCGGTCCGTAATTTTTAAATCAATTTTCTCGCCATGTTGCCATGAACATAAAAATCATGTACATGTACTAGTATTTTTGTAGATCCAGCATTGCATGCCCGTGGACCAAACTAAAAACAGTAAACGAAGGATTCAGTGATCGACTTTATCACTGCTCAGCTACACTAGCACAAGCGAAGTGTCGTAGAAGTGCAGTAGCGATCCACAATGTTCACTAGCGAAGAGCAATACACTGTACCAGTAATATTATTTTTTCCTTTGCCGGTCAGCGTCTTGAAACGACCGTTTGGCTTCCATAACTAAACCTTCCAATAGTGGCGCAAAGGCTTCGGTGCAACGCTCCATCGTAACAGGAGATCTACCCGGGTGAGTTACATGTACAGGTGTAGTTGATGATCGCTGAGTTTCAAATACTAGTACCGGAGAGCTGAGCCTCGACTTGACATACCAATCCGCAAATCTCGCCAGCGGGACGGCGGTAGTGGCTGTACGAGTGGACTGAAGCAGCTGGCGTCACTTAGCTAGCGCCAGGCCAGCGCAACACAACAAGACTCGAGTCAAGAGCGTGCATGGTGAGTGCCGACTGATTTTTTTTTAAATTTATTACTATTGCCAGTATTGGTCTTGTCCGCCTGCATATGCGCACATAGTCATTGCACTGACTCTTGCGTGTAAATCTACTCTAGCCCTAGACTACAGTCCATTTCAAAACTATAGACGCGTAGTGTTTTGCAAAATTCGATGGGATTTATTTAAAATATTTTAGTTTTTCTCCAGATTCCGTCTCTGCATCGCTTCACAATTCTGGCTATATACTTTGTTTTCACTACAATTGAAGTTTATTTTTAGGCCAGGTTTTCCGGTTTTACATGTAATTCCTGTTTTGAAGGGTTTGACCAGTTTGTTTCGGATTTTTCCTGCTGAGACAGTGCTGCGCCCAGACCATCGCGGGTGCATTTTTGTACGGGTCCTGGTAGCCTCGTGGTTTCGATCCGTGATTTCCAGTACAAGTGTGGAGCATTCGAATCCCATCACGCCTCCTGCCTTTTTTCTCTTCTTTTCTGCATGTTTTGGATCTTGGTGGGTGAAATACAGTAGGGATGATAATTATATTTTCTCTTTTTGATATGATTTGAGCCTCCCTGTTCTCTTCGCCTGACACAACGAGTGACAGTGGTTTCACTCACGCCAGTTGCAAGGTGAGTTCGACGACGAGGATTTCGGATACTCAAGCTTCGATCAAAATCCAGCTCTTGTTCGAAGAAACAATGAACACGACTAATCATATCTTTCTCGGCATCACTGAGATTCTTACGGGCCTTGGAAGCCATTACAGTCAGGCACTCAGAAAATGCAAACAAGAAGAAGATTCATTTGAGACTTTCATTTCTTTTGAGACTTTCCTCACACCTTTTCATTTGCGACTTTGCGTGTTTTGCATCTTTTGTATTTCCCGCGGCGACGAAGAAAAACCTGAAAAACACATCTGAAAACCAGAAAACACTCAGGCAAAACTCACGGCTGTCGTGCGCTACAGTACGTATGACTCATACGTATGAGTTCACGTGTCTATAGTTTTGAAATGGACTGTAATAGTAGTAATACCATGAATACTAGTATTAGCTCTGTGTACATGGTGTAGATGGATAGACCAATGACGTGTGTATGATATTGTCATTGATACTAATTTGATACAGTAGTCCTTACTTACTTACAAGTAGGTTTCTAAGACAAGTTATTTCTCCTAGTCATACTCATAGGACCAGATGCCTAGGCTTGGGAATGATACATTTACATGTACATGTATGTCTGAGTTCAAGTACATGGCGTACTTGAAACAGTGCAGGATCCCTGCTCACAGAAAGGAAAGCTTAGAGTAACCATGGTAACCACTAGCAACAAATACATGTATCTGATTTGAAAGGTGATTGTCTGCACAAGCAGATCAATGTGA